CCTCCTCCTCCTCCTCCTCCTCCTCCTCCCCCTCCTCCTCCTCCCCCTCCTCACGACCCCTCCTCGCTCGCTGCCCGCCGATGTATGACCAGATGCTCGCGCCCCCGCCCCGACCGCTCTCCCGCGGCCCGACCCGCCCCGACCCGCCCAGCGATCTCCGCGTCCCGCCCTCGACGTCCTCGTCTCGGGCATGCTGCCTCCGATCGTCGTCGTTTTCGATCGTCGTCGTCTTCGATCGTCGTCTTCGATCGTCGTCGTCGTCGTCGTTAGCGTCGCCGTCAGCGTCGCCGTCAGCGTCGTCGTCAGCGCCAGCGTCAGCGCCAGCGTCGTCGTCGCCGCTGCCGCCTTCGTCGCCTTCGCCTTCGCCGCCGCCGTCGTTGTCGTCGTCGTCGTGCTTGTGTTCGGTCGTCATCGTCTGCTGGCTTGCACGGGTAGGGTCCCCATATCGGAGATTGAGGGGACGGCGTTGAGAGGGGGACGGGCTTCTTGCTGGAGGAGGGGGAGGTAGCAGTCATGGGGGAAAGGGGGCAATTTTCAGGAGACGGTAGAGGTGTTCTTATTCCGGGAGGGGGAAGTGTGGATGTTGTGCAGCGCCCGTGAGAGACGCCCCCCACTCTCTGTCTCCCTCGCTCTCTTGTTACCTCTCTTATTCTCTCTCTCTCTCTCTCCCTCTCTCTCTCTCTTTTTTTTGTTCTCTCTCTCTCTCTCTCTCTCCCTTTTTTTCCTCTCTCTCTCTGGTTCTCCCGCTCTCTCCGTCCTTCTCCTCATCCTTTCCTCCACAACTCTCTTGTAGTTTCTCTCTCTCTCTCTCTCTCTTTTTTGCGCGCTCTCTCTCGCTCTCTCTCTCTCTCTGTCTCCTTCTCTCTCTCTCTCTTGTTTTATCTCTCCCTCTCTCAATCTCTCTCTCTCTCTCTCTTTCTCCTTCCCTCCTTCTCTCCTTCCCGCCGTCTCTCCTTCCCCTTTTGCCTTCTTCCTTTCTTCCCTCCTTCCCTGCCTTTCCCTGAGTCTCTATCTTTGTCCCTATCTCTGCCTCTGCCTCTGCCTCTATCCCTGTCGCTGTCTCTGTCTCTGTCGCTGTCCCTGTCTCTCTCTCTCTCTCTTTCTCTCTGTCTCTCTTTGTTGTTTCTCTCGCTCTCTCTCTCGCTCTCTCTCTCTCTCTCTCTCCACACCTCCAACTCATAGATAGGTATGTAGTTGTATGGTAGCAGCACCACCCGTGCCATCGACCGACGTAGACATTTGCTTTATCTCCGCAGGCCGTCGCGGAATCGTTCCCGATCCAGAAATTCGGAGGGGAAATGCTCTACTTCTAGCCAACGCGCTGGCGCGGTTCCGCACAATAGAGGAGTGGCGAGAGGGGATCTAAACGAAGGGTGATCGTGATGAGTAGGTGGATGAGATTGGAGGTGGAAGGGGAGGTGAAAGAGGAGGAGGAGGAGGAGAAGGAAGATACGGATGATGATGATGATGATGATGATGATGATGATGATGATGATGATGATGATGATGATGATGATGATGATGATGATGATGCTGCTGATGATGATGATGATGATATTGATATTGATATTGATGATGATGATGATGATGATGATGATGATGATGATGATGATGATGATGATGATGATGATGATGCTGCTGCTGATGCTGCTGCTGCTGCTGATGATGATGATGATGATGATGATGAGGAGGAGGAGGATGATGAGGATGATGATTGCGATGCTGCTGATGCTGCTGCTGCTGATGCTGATGATGATGATGATGAGGAGGAGGAGGAGGAGGATGGGGAGGAGGAGTAGGAGGAACACGAGTAGTAGTAATAGCAGTAGTAAGAATGACAATGCTTGTCGTAGTAGCAGGAGGAAGAGCAGGAGGAGGATCAGGAGGTAGCGTTTAGCTTGGACCCTGATGCTACTATCGCTCAGGGTTCAGGATGATGATGTCGGAGAGAACGAGTTGGACCGGCGAGGAGGGAAGAAGGATGGGGAGACGGAGGAGGGGCGGAGGAGGAGAAGGAGGAGGAGGATGCTGATGAGGATGAGGATGAGGATGCGGACGATGTTGATGCTGATGCTGATGCTGATGCTGATGCTGATGCTGCGACGTTGCTGGGGCTCCACATGGGCTCCCAGAGACCCCAAACGGCCAACAATCCTTGGTTTTTGGGGGGTTGGGGGGGGGGCGCGAGCATGTCTGGGAAGACACAGTCTTGGGGAGGAGCGGCCGCTCAGACGGGGCCCTCCTGAGCGCCCCCCCGGCGCAGCCGGGGGCGAGCGGGCAACGTGTACGGCTGCTTCATCATCCCGCTGCTGGCGCAGCCGCTGCCCCTGCCTTGGCCGCCCCCCGTCCCTCCTCCCCTGTTTCGCCGACCACGCGACCTCTTCCCCCTCCTGCCTCCTCCTCCTTCTCCTCCTCCTCCTCCTCCTCCTTCTCCTCCTCCTCCTCCTTCTGCTTCTCCTCTCCTCCTCCTCCTCCTCCTCCTCCTGCTCCTGCTCTCCCGAGTTCGGCGACCACAGTGGGTGTGGTCGCGCTGGGGTGTGGTCTGCGATCGGATCCGTTGGGGCCTCGGGGCGGGGTCGCCACGCTGCGGCAGCGGCTCACCGAGCCCTCGCCGGGGCGCAGCAGAGGCCTCCGTCGAGGCCCTCGCCCGCCTCCCCCGGCGAGGGCTTTGCACACCACACCCTCTTGCGCTGAGCCAGACCCTTCGGAGTTGCCGGCAGAGGAGCAGCAGAAGAGAGGGGGGTCGACTGCGCGGTTCGCTCTTGAGCTGCTCGCGAACGATGGCGCGCAGGTGCCGTCATTTCCAGTGCAGCGTGTCTCGCTGACGGCTCGCGTTGGCCGCGGCGTAAGGCCGTTATGTAATCGAGCGTAAGAAAGGCTTCTCCTTGTCGCCCAAAGTGGAGCAAGAGCAGATGCGGATGGAGCATCGCACTGCATGGCCGATCAGTGCGGTGCGATCCTCCGACCCCACCTGCTCGGGCCCTGCCTGGGAGGCCCCCATCCAGGGCCTTCACCATGAGATCCTCGAGGATTCGAGGATCGAGGATCGAGGATCGAGGATCGAGGATCGAGGATCGAGGATCGAGGATTCGAGGATCGAGGACGGCGTTGCTGCATGTCTCCCTGCGCTCCCGGGGCAGACCTCGTCTCCACGGCAGGCGTCGCCCCCGTGTCGGCGCCTCGTGCAGCCCGAGCCGGCCCATCCAGGACTGATGTCCAGGCGATGCGCCTCGATCGGGGACGTAGAGGAGCACGCTACGTTGAGTCGGTACGTTTCTCTACAGGAGGAGTGTTCAAACATAGTCAAACAAGAGTCGAGGGGCTATTCTTGGATCGTTTTCGAATTCTGTTTCAGCATCCGTTGACTGTTTTTTTGGGGGGGTTTTCGTCCAGCATCCGCCTGCAGGAGGCCACGCCCGACCTTAATGCAGTGTCCCGCCCGTCGTCATCTTCCTCGTCGTTGCTCCTTAGTTTCTGCCTTGCCCACCGCTCCCGCCCTCACCGCCGATCGCCCTGGTCCACCACTCAATGCCACTGGTTCCCGCGTGAGACCATCGATGGCCAATGAAAGCCCCCTCGTGGCTGCGGCCCCGTGGTGCCTCGTCGTCTCACCACTCCCGCCCTCCACCCCTCTCGCCCTCGCCCTGCCCTGCCCACCACTCCCGCCCTTTCGTTACTCTCTGCCCTGCCCGCCGCTCCCGCCCTCGCCGCCTCACGACGAGCCCGCCCTCGCCGTGCCGCCCGCCCGGCCCCGCCCGCCCGGCCCCGCCCCCGCCCGCCTCCGTGTCTTCCTCCTCCTCCTCCTCCTCCGTCTCCTCCTCCTCCTCCTCCTCCTCCTCCTCCTCCCCTCCTTCCTCCTCCTCCTCCTCCTCCTCCTCCTCTTCCTCTCCCCCTCCTCCTCCCCCCTCCCCCCTCCTCCTCCTCCTCCTCCTCCTCCTCCCCCTCCTCCTCCTCCCCCTCCTCACGACCCCTCCTCGCTCGCTGCCCGCCGATGTATGACCAGATGCTCGCGCCCCCGCCCCGACCGCTCTCCCGCGGCCCGACCCGCCCCGACCCGCCCAGCGATCTCCGCGTCCCGCCCTCGACGTCCTCGTCTCGGGCATGCTGCCTCCGATCGTCGTCGTTTTCGATCGTCGTCGTCTTCGATCGTCGTCTTCGATCGTCGTCGTCGTCGTCGTTAGCGTCGCCGTCAGCGTCGCCGTCAGCGTCGTCGTCAGCGCCAGCGTCAGCGCCAGCGTCGTCGTCGCCGCTGCCGCCTTCGTCGCCTTCGCCTTCGCCGCCGCCGTCGTTGTCGTCGTCGTCGTGCTTGTGTTCGGTCGTCATCGTCTGCTGGCTTGCACGGGTAGGGTCCCCATATCGGAGATTGAGGGGACGGCGTTGAGAGGGGGACGGGCTTCTTGCTGGAGGAGGGGGAGGTAGCAGTCATGGGGGAAAGGGGGCAATTTTCAGGAGACGGTAGAGGTGTTCTTATTCCGGGAGGGGGAAGTGTGGATGTTGTGCAGCGCCCGTGAGAGACGCCCCCCACTCTCTGTCTCCCTCGCTCTCTTGTTACCTCTCTTATTCTCTCTCTCTCTCTCTCCCTCTCTCTCTCTCTTTTTTTTGTTCTCTCTCTCTCTCTCTCTCTCCCTTTTTTTCCTCTCTCTCTCTGGTTCTCCCGCTCTCTCCGTCCTTCTCCTCATCCTTTCCTCCACAACTCTCTTGTAGTTTCTCTCTCTCTCTCTCTCTCTTTTTTGCGCGCTCTCTCTCGCTCTCTCTCTCTCTCTGTCCCTCCTCCTTCTCCGCCTCCTCCTCCTCCTCCGCCTCCTCCTCCTTCTCCTCCTCCTCCTCCTCCTCCTCCTGGGTTGGGACCTCCCCGTCCCCCTTCGAGGCGTGACGTTGCTTCCCCTTCTCCTACTCGTAAATCGGGCCTGTCCCTCTGCAGGAGGAACATTCAAAAATAGTAAAAGAATCGTCATGGGACGATTTTTCGTGTTTTTTTCGTCCAGAATCCACCTGTAGGGGGACACGCCCGACCTAATCCTACTCATCCTTCTCCTCCTTCTCCTCCTCCTCTTTCTTCCCTGCCGTTTGACGCTCGGCAAACTTAGACCAGCTGGGATCATAGCGTCCGTATGACGAATTATGGCGACAACATGCAGAACACGTGACCGACTGAGGCACGGTGGCCTGCAAATTCGATCTGGGTGGGCGCAGCAGGAAAGGGCCAGGCAATGTGCGAAACAGGAACAGTGCAGAGGCCCACCGAGGCAACGAGTATGCACCCACGTGGCCAGTGAGGGGGTGATGGGCGTGATTATGATCCCACCTGAAAATAGAACCAGGATAAAACAGACCTCCGCCTCCGCCTCCGCCTCCGTCTCCTCCTCCTCCTCCTCCTCCTCCTCCTCCTCCTCCTGTTCCTCCTCCTCTCTCTCTTCCTCGACACTCTGGGATTGAAGGCCGATGCTCGCCAAAGCTCTGCCCAGGCTGCAACTTCTGCGTGGTCAAGTTCAGCATCGGTGCCAGTATATCCGTTGTCGAAAACCGTCCTACCCCAGCTCGATCCGCTTAATCCGGCGAGATCCCGCCTAATCCGGGTTGTTCTTGGCCTTCCTTTGGCTTAGTCAGGATTCGTGTTCCCATAGTCGCGTTCAGTTGCCTGGATGGTTCCCACGAAGACCACCCAGACGCCGCCTTCCGAACCCCGTCCTCCACCCCTTCATCCTCTCCTTCCTCCACCTGCACCTCCTCCACCTTCCCACCGCTCCTCTCCGGCCTTGTACTGCTGCCTCCCTCCTCCGCCCCCTGCTCTCTCCTCCAGCTCTTCGTTCCCTTCCTCCCTCGCTCCCTCCTCCGCCTTCGGTCCTTGTGCTTCTCTTTTCACTCTGCTACATGGTCATCCTCCACATTCTCTTTCTCGCCCCCTCCTTCCTCCACCTACCGTTCGTCATGCCGGGGCTGCTGCTGTGCCCCTCCTCTTCTCCGCCCGCGCCCTCTTCCTTCACGTCCTCCCCCTCCCCCTCGCCCTCCCCGTCCTCCTCCTCCTCCTTTCCCTCGAGGTGCTCGTGGCTCCGCTGGCCCTGAAAGCTTGTACCATGACGGGCGAGTCAGTCTACACCATGAGGTCCACTGATTTTGGATCCTCGCACGGGGTCAGACTCGCGAAGGTTCCCCGTGGCCCCGATGCTGAAGTCTGCTCGCATCGGGTGCGGAGTCGACGCCTTGGCGGGCCTGCATCGCCCCCCCCCCCCCCTCCGGACGTTGGCAGACGGCCAGTGGCCCGCAGCGAGGGTACAGCGGAGCAGGCGATATCTCAGTGGCGGCGTCGCAGATCGGGGTCCAGATCGATCCCTCAGCTTCAGGACCTGGACCAGCGCCCAGATCGGCTGCCAAGTCGTGCGGTTGCTCTTCCGAGTTCATTTTGATCCGGTCGATCCGGTACGGTAGGTTCGTGTGGTGTCGACCGGCGGCGACCGCGCCGCCGGCGTTCAACGTCGAGCGCCGCCAGCGACCGAGAATCGGTCGATGTTGAACGATCTGTCGTGTCGGAAACCGCCGATCGCTCAACGTTGAACAATCTCCGCGGTGTGGAATCAACGCCCTGGTCGACACGACACGAACCTGCAGTACGACACCGATTTCGGTCGGAGCGTTCCGATTCGATTCTGACGTTCCGAGGGCCCGATGCGATCCCGATGCTTGCCTGCATCGGCGCTGCTGTGCGTCCCGGCGCGGCCGATTCGATCCGACTCCGAGTCCGTGCCGATGCGGCCCGATCCGACGCACATGCAGTGTTTGGCCGATCCGATTTACCGATTCGATGCTGGCTGATACAGCCCTTTTGCCAACACCGCTGACCGCCGAGGGTATGCATCTTCCTCCCGTGGCACATCGGCGGCCTGCTCGTGCGCTCGAAGAAGGTGCTGCTGCCGCAGAGGGTGGCGGAGCGAGGGAGCGGGATGACAGAAGTCCGAGGCGGGAATCTTCTGACAATTTTCGGCCCCCCGGGGGCCCTGACGGGGCCCCAGGGACTTCAGCAGCAGGATTCGGGATGAGAATCTGGTCCAGGGAAAGGGGTTAGGACCTCCGAAAGCCTGTGCAGGGTCTACTTCGATCCGTTCGATCCGGTCTGACATCGATTTCGGCCGGCCCGATCCGTTCCGATGCGATTGCGAAGGCCTTACGGCCGGCGGCCGGTGCCGCCGACCCTGAAGGGGAACGACGACAACGGCGGCGGCGGCGACAACAACGACGCTGACTTGGGTCAGAGTCCTCGTATGTTTCTTGGGGTCTCTTCGAAGCGCTCTTGGGGGCCTCTTGAGGACCTCTTGGGAGTCTTGGGGGCCTCTCGGGGCTTCCTGGGGGCCTCTTGGGCGCCCCTTGGGGCCGATTCCAGCCGGCCCGATCCGTTCCGATTTGATTTCGATGCTGCGTCGATCCGATGCGGTCCGAGGCTTGCGTGGCGCTGTTGTGCATCATGGGGCGTCCGATCCGATTCGACTGATGGCCGATTTCCCACCACCACTACCATAGGGAGGAGGAGGAGGAGGAGGAGGAGGAGGAGGAGGAGGAGGAGGAGGAGGAGGAGGAGGAGGAGGAGGAGGAGGGGGAGGAGAAGGAGGTGGACCTTCCAATCCTTCCTTCTCCCCCGTCCTATCTATAGTAGTGGTTGTGGTGGCGGAAAATTGGCCCATCATCGACTCCGAGTCGATGCGGCCCGATCCGACGCTCGCTCCGATCCGATCCGAGTTCCCGCTTCGAAGCTGGTTGATCCTCCCCTCTTGTTGCGGGGGTTCCCAGCGTGCCTCTAGGGATTCTCAGTAGAATCGGTAGCCAAGCTCAGGATGTCCCAAGTGGAGGAATGCGAAGCTGCAGGAGCATCATGGCACCTATATAATTGCAATCCCATCCTGGGCTAGTGAAAGCGCTGAATTTCTGCTGGAACGCCAGGACTGGTCAGGAGGGGAAGGGGAGTTTGATGTTACAGTAGAAGCGCTCGTTGTTCGTGTCCCCCTCAAGCCGAAGCTCGGAATCAGCCTGAGCAAACACAGAAGTGATCCATCTATGCCTTCGCGGCTCTTTCGAGTGAGGAGAAGGAGGAAGATGATAAGGAGAAGGGGTGAGGAGGAGGAGGAGGAGGTGGAAGAGGAGGATGGGGAGGGGGCGGGGCAGAAGACCAGTTCAACAGCACAACGATTCAGCAGAGACCGATGCAATAGCGCACTGGTTCAGCACAGACAAGTTCAACCTCGAGCCAGTTCAGTAGAGGCGGGTTTAACAAAGACAGGTTCCTGTTAGCCAGTTCCACAGACCTGGTTCCGTCGAACCCAGCTTCCGAAGACTTGATTCAACCCATCGAGTTCGACAGATGTTGTGACAACGAATCCATAGACAGCAACCAGCCATGTTGATCAGTATGGGGTAGAAGAAAGTAGGAAGCAGTAGTTGTCCCATATAGAAAAGTATGACATAGTAGGTTTAAGTCGGAAAGAGTAGTTTCAAATTATATTCAAATAGGAAATAATTTCCCCAGCGTAGACATAACATCTCAATGCCAACTTGCGGGTTGATCAGGACGCGCGCTGCGAATGTGTCGCACTGCAGCCATCATTGCCGCGGCCATTTCCGGGCGCGTTGCGCTGCGCCGCATTGCTTGAGGTTCGCTGGCGCGGGGCCTCGCTGCGCGAAACAAGCGCGTAGTGTGGGGGCCATGAATGCAGGGTCGCAGCGCCGGCGTCTTCTTGTAGTCTATAGAGGGCGGCCCGCGGATTCCATAGCGCGCGGCGCTTTCTGCCGGTTGTAACTTTCTGATCGGGGCCGAGCAAGTGGCGGAGCCCCGCCCGCCAGGCCAGCGCGCAGTTAAGATGTGTGAATCTGGAACCTTGCGCGGGGGCGGGGGAATTATTTCGCCGATTTAGAGAGCAATTTCGGGGTGCCCCCCGGGTCCTCCACGGGGCCGCCGGGGCCCTCCGGGGAGAGCGCCGCGACCCGCCCGCGGGCCTGCCAGCGGCCAGCCGGGCTGGCCTCCAGCGGGCCTGGGGTCCGCGAAAGCTGTCGCGGCCGGCCCAGATTCGCGCGCGCCGGCGCGGCCCGGGCGGATTTGCAAAATTCGTTGGCGCGGCGCGGGGCCCAAGTTTGCGCGCGCCGGCGCGGCCGGGCCCGGACGTGCAAAGCGCGCCAGCTCGGCCGGGCCCGGATTTGCAAAGCGCGCCAGCGCGGCCCCGCCTGAAATTGTAAAACGCGCCAGCGCGGCCGGCCCAGATTCGCAAAGCGTGCCGGCGCCGCTTGCAGAACTCTCGCGCGCGGCGCCTCCGGGCGCCGGCGGTCCGCCGGGGGGGTAAAACAAGTTATTTTAAAGCTATTTTAAATCAATCTCCCGGGGCGCCCGGAATGCCCCCAGAGGGGGGGTAGAACAGAGGTGTTTCCCGGAGCTACTTGGAAGCTACCAAAGCTAGTTGAAAGCTAGACAACCTACTTGTAGCTACAAAAAGTTAGTTTATGCTAGAACAAGCTGGAAAGAACTATCTCGATGATTTCAAACAAGCTATATCGGAATTCCTTTCTGGCTCGCCAGGGCCCGCCAGCCGGTCGCCGCGGCTGGCCGGCGGGGACCTCCCGAGGCCGCGGGGTCCGCTGGGGCCGGCGCGGCCGGTTTGGATATGAAAAGCGCACCGGCGCGGCCACTGCCCGACTTGCGAAGCGCGCTGCCCGACTTGCGAAGCGCGCCGGCGCCGCCGGGCCCAATAATAAACAATGCGCGCCGGCGCGGCCAGGCTGACGATGAAACGCTTCGGCGCGGCCGGGCCGCGCCGGCGCGGCCAGGCCTGGCGCGAGATATGGGCGCGGGGGGAGGGGGGGGAACAAAAAAGAGAGGAGAGGAGGGGGATGAGGAGGAGGAGGAGGAGAGGAGGAGGAGGAGGAGGAGGAGGAGGAGGGCGGGGCAAAGGGAGGGGGGGGAGGAGGGAAGGGGGCGAGCAGCGAGCAGGAGGAGTCTTGGGCGGGGGCGGCAAGGAAAAACAACGACGGCGGAGGGGAAGGGGCGGGAGAGGCGGGCGATGGGGTCGCCGCGGCACGGCGAGGTGGGCGCGCGGACGGGTAGAGGAGGGAGGTCGGGCGAAAGAGGAGGAGGAGGCGGGAGGAGGAGGAGGAGGAGGAGGAGGAGGAGGAGGAGGAGGAGGAGGAGGAGGAGGAGGAGGAGGAGGAGGAGGAGGGAGATAAGAGGGGGAGGAAGGGGCCGAGACGAGGAAGGGGGAAGGCTGGTGAAGGGGTTGAGGGGGCAAATGTGGAAGAGGCATTGGGGTGCGTCGCGTGCAAAACCGCGCCCCGACCATCGCCGTGGCGTCGCGTTCAGAACCCGCGCGGCATTCCTTGTTGATTTACTGGCGCGCGGGGCCGTGATTTGATTCGGCGCGTCGCCGCGGCGGGTTCGACGTTGCCCGTCCCGCGCGCGCGTTCCAGTCGCTTCCGGAGCGAAGCAACAACTATTTTTAGCTATATCAGAAAGTTTTTTTTGTTTCCCCTAGATCTTTCTATCTCATATTCTTGTATTGATCCCCAGCTGTCTAAGGCCATCCGGTGTCACAAGACATGCAGTCCCGCAGATGTGGGTCATCTCGCGGGGCCCAGGAAGAAGGGAGAGAACGGAGAGCAGACGGAAGAACGAGGAGGAATGATAATGAGTAAGACTGAGGAGTCGGAGTCGGAGTCGGAGTCGGAGTCGGAGGAGGAGGAGGAGGAGGAGGCGGAGGAAGAGGAGGAGGAGGAGGAGGAGGAGGAGGAGGAGGAGGAGGAGGAGGAGGAGGAGGGGGGGAGGAAGATTGGGGGGGTAGAGCGGGGGGAAGGAGCAGGACCAACGTAAACCCAATATGCATCAACGATGCCCGAAGAACTTTTCCCTCCCGTCCGAAGTCCCTTCCTCATACGTCTTTGCAAGCCTTCCTCCTCATTTCGTAGAGGCTGGAAACACATGTGTGGGCTGGGTTTGGTTGCGTTGCGTGCTCGGGGCGTCCTGGTGTCTTTCTATCGTCGGGCTGCGCCGAACTTGAAAACGGCGACTACACGTAAGAGTGATCTGTCGCTGGAGTGACCTTTGGTGCGGGCACAAACGGGTCCTCAGATGGCCGACGACGAAGCGGTAGCAGCGACCTGCGCGCCTTGGTTTGGCCTCCCCGCGGCCCCCAAAAAACTGTTCACCAAAGGTCACTCTTACCCAGTGTTAGGTCGGGCCTGACCCCGGGGGATTTTTGGGCGAAAAATTTAACATACTCAAGAAATGCCCTCCGAATTGCTAAACGTAGTCAAACAATCGCCCCCAGACCATTTTTGGACTATTTTCGAATATTCCTCCTGTAGAGGGACAGGCCCGATTTAAAGGTACCGCGACCCCTCCGAGTAACCATCCACCCGTGTGCCCTTTCCCGGGCCCCGCGCGTGCCCACCGAGAGCCCTGCGAAACCCGCTCCGGGGCGCGGGCTCCGCCCGCGTCTTTCCTGCGATGGCGACTTGCCCTGCATGTTTTGGGCGCGCCCCCAGGAATTTTAACAAAAAAACATACATATGATCATGAGGGCCGGTGGCGACACCTGCAAACTCCTTTTCTCTCTCCTTGTGCGTGACCCTCGAGGCGCACGCGTCTCTGTGGAGTGTCCTGCGGCCGTGCACCTTATGCAGGCGCCATTCCACAAGTGGTGGGTTTTGCAGATTGGTGGTATTGTCCGATCATACCTTTCACAGATCATACAGTTCAACGAGGTGTCCAGCGATGTCCCCGTTTTGAACAGGGGTCGCCTCCCATGTGTGAATATGCTGCGCACGGTTACACTTCGAGGCCTGAGCTTCGAGGAAGGTTCCACCGAGGGCCACATTTTGAGAAGCAGCCGCCCTCCATCCGTGCAGCTGTTACATCACTTCAAGTTTCGTG